TATGGTTTTAATGTTTTGTGTGAGTCACCCAGAGTTCCCCCATTGGGGGGAGATGGGCGGGGGAGAAATGTAATTAAATAAATAAATAAATAAATAAATAAATATTCTAGTGAAGCACATGTGGAAGTAGACTGAGTTGAAGGACCCAAGAAATATTGAACTTTCCGATGGATGGTTGATTTGTCATTTTTAACAGGCTGTATTTTTCAGAATTTGTCAATCAATTAAAATGTATCTATTAGGGCAAAGTGCACACATACGCAAATCTATTAGGAGAAAATATTTTGCAGCAAGTATAAACACTATGAAAATCTTTTACCATAAAGCATGTATTAGTACAAGTCTTACAAATTTTCATGTAAATTCTTACATAAAATTGGATGAATTTTAGAAAACTAATCAAGCCTGAAATTAAGAAATTTACATTTTGTCTCTCATTATATACACACACACACCCATATACAGTACATACACCCATATACACATGTACATGTATCATATACAGTATAGACGTATTTGAGGATTGATAGAATAAACCTAAGCTTATTTACTTATAAATAAACCTCTTTTAGTTCAGTGGATTTACTCTATAAATAAAGTACATTTAGACTTTCAGCAATCGAAATAATTAGGCTCTCATTCTGACAGATTATTTTCTACTTCCAGTCTATCATGGTACATTTAGCAACCATACCTTATAGTTTAAACAAATTATTTACAGTATGTTGAATAACTATTATATCTGAATAATTCACCCAAGCTTAATATTTTCTACAAATAACCTTCCCATAAATTTATTGAGGTTTTGTTAATGTGCAAATGCACATTAACAAAACCTCAATTTGTGTTTGTATGTGTATATGTATATGTGTGTCTATCTGTATCCTTATCTATATAGTTATATTATACAACAATTTAATTGGGTATTAGAAGAATAACCAAGAATTTATCATGGGGATTAATGCATTTTTATTGGGATATGTTTTGGTGTCATTTCTTCAGATCCCAGGGTCAGAGGGTGGCTTATGCTGGATTCGTACTTACCTACTTTTGCTCTCACCATGCTATATCTGCTCTTCATATGTCTGGGCACCACTTTTATGAAGAACAGGCCTGCTTTGTCACTCAGGGGTCTTCTTATTGTATATAACCTTGGAGTCACAGTGCTGTCTTTTTACATGCTGATAGAGGTAAGTCTTTAATTGCAGCAAGTTTCCTTACTTGGCTTTTATTCAACTGATTGGGATTTGGTAAGAATTATTTATTTGGGTCAAATTGACTTCAGCCTTCCCAAACTGGAATCCAGAGATGTTTTAAATGCATCTGTGCTGTACATTCAAGAACATCTATTCTTTTAGTTTCTGTGATCTTCTGTGATCTCTATGATTCAATGGGACCATTTTAAAGCACTTTGTATTAGTGCAAAATAGGAATGCTGACTTTCGGAATGAATTTATTATCTATACTTGAAGTATGACATGTATATAAGGAACTTCCAGTAACACCATTTTAAACCATTTTGTAAAACAAATGGACATTGTAGCATCACATATAAAGAGCAAACTGTGTATCACAGCATATAGCATATGGCATAACATATACAGGTAGTCCTTGCTTAGTGACTACAATAGGGACCAGATGATTCATTGTTAAGCGGGGCAGTTGTTAAGCAAGTTGCGCCCGATTTTACAACCTTTTTGGCAGTGGTCATTAAGCAAATCACCATGGCCGTTAAGCGAATCACACAGTCGTTAAGTGAATCACATGGTTCCCTATTGATTTTGCTTGCCGGAAGCTGGCTGGGAAGATCACAAATGGCGATCACGTGACCCCAGGATGCTACAACCATCATAAGTGCAAGCTGATTGCCAAGCGCCCAGATTGCAAGCCCATGACCATGGGGGTGTGGCGACAGTTGTAAATGCAAGGACCGGTTGTAAGTCCCTTTGTTCAGCATCATTGTAACTTTGAATGGTCACTAAACAAATGGTTGTTAAGTGAGGACTACCTGTATAATGTGCTTATTTTGAACAAAGAAGCAGCTGGCAAAAGATAAACCTTTCTTGGTCATTTTGGTGCTCCAAATTTCATACGTCCCCATCCCCGTTACATTGCTTTCCTTCTAATGGAATTATGACTATCTGGAAAAAAACACATATTTTTACAATCTCTGATTTTATACAATAACACATAGTCAGAGGTAGCTGTTTTTATTTAACTAAATCTGTGTGTTTTTGAATGTCAGCCATTAGCCCAATTAAACTGTGACTGTTGCCTTCAGAATGTGTGGGAAGTGACAGTCCTCTTTCTAGCTTACTTACAGACAAATACCTTTCCTCAGTCCTTCACTGAGTGCTTAAATGTCAGAATTTTGAATATCCCAGGGACACTGGAAAACAGACAAGTTAATAGCAACAATTACCAATGACTTATTAAAAACTGCCACAATGCCTAATAGTGTCTCAAAGACCGTTGTTTCAGACATCATTCACATCACTATGTGCAGTAACGTTCTCTCATTATGGATGACAATCACCACCTTTTGAGTATTCAGCTTAGTATATATCATATACTATATTCTAGTATTTTTTCTCTGGGATTGAAGTGCTGCAGTCTTTAAGTACTGCCTGCATTATATCTCAGCAGCCCATCTAAAACCATGGATTAAACTCTAGCTCTTTGAAGAGCATCTAAAAATAGGCAACCTACATAGAAAGCAGGGCTTCAGTAAAGCAGGAAATCTGGATTGCTCCTTGAACAAAGCAATGATGTGGGACATCATCTCCTTCCCCAGATTTGCTTTTTGGATTCTGTACTGATTTTCTCCACAGTTCCTTCTGAATCCATCTAAAAAGAAGCAAACAATCTCCTTTCACCATTAATTAATCATGGGTTTGGTTTAAACACTTGACTTATCCTACCTCATCACCAATACTACCACAAAGAAAAAAGTTTTATGTCATCTACAGAAGGCTCAGGTTTCTGGGAAAGGCCCAGCTCTTAGAAACAAAGGAACACTATGGTTGAAGAGGAAACACCCAAAATATCTGTTCTTTGCTTCTGTGTTAGGTTCAATACATAGCTGTACAGAACTATCCCCCAATTTCAGTGGGAATGGGATATACAGATACATGAATCAGCATGTATACATGTCCATCAGCATGTAGTGGCAAATCTTCCATACCTACATTATGTTTAAATGCAGCACATGGTCTGTGCTGTTAGAGAGTTCATGCCACGATGTAGTAGCTGTTCTCAACTGTTTTGCTCTGTCTTCTTCTTTAGGTGACT